CATGAATATACTTGAATACTTCAATAAGGTCCCCACGCAGACGTCGATAACTGAGGTTTGGAAGCTGCATAATCTTTAATCTTTCTTCATAGGACTTGCCCTTCAAGCCTGGAATTATCATTGTTGCACGTCTTTGAACATTAGCCAGTGTTGCCACCTAAATCGAAGTATTGACACAGTTACGGTCGAAATTTGTGTGTACTCGTCTTGGGCACAACTAAATTATAAGTAAAGAACAAAATTAGAATTACATTTATTTCTTTATTATTAGGTTTACATTTTAAGCATTAGGATTTACATTAAAAAGGCCCCAGAATGCTAAAAAGGCCCCAGAGGGCCAAATGAATTTGGTCAGGCCAATGAATTTCAAAAAAGGCCACATTTGCGAAATTTGGGAAGAAAAAGACTAATCTGGCAACGCTGGGCAACTATCGAAAAAAGTATTCAGAGTATAATTAGAATATGTAAGTACATAAATCTCATACATAAATAATGACTTGGAAAACAATAACTGCTGATTAGAGTATACTTTCTAAAATGCAAATTTGCTGCGATTTTTCGCCATATGACATATATCAGTGTTTTCTGCGCAAAATAAATTACCCAACAATTTACAAAAATTCATTCATATTATATTTTCCTAGTGCCTAAAATTATTCATGTAAACTTCTTTCGCGAAAAATTTAGTTTCACTGAACTTCTTTCTTTCTAAATATTAAAAATTAAATGCGAAATTAATTAACGACTAGTTGAACGTGACCTCTTCGAATAAGAATCGGCTGGAGGGCGAGGGACATTGTCTTATTTCTGTACAACAGTAAGAAGCGCTATAATTGAGTGGTAAATTTACAACTAACACGGTTATTTTCCTTGCATGTAGTTTTCAAATTTAAGAACGTTTTAAATAATTTTTTCTTCTGACAGAGATCAGGCTGGCCGCTGGTGGGCGCATTTGTCGCCACAAGACTTAATCACAACTAGGTAGTAGGAAAAAAAATGTATTAGCTAGCCTAGGTCCAATTCGATTGTATTCTGTCATTTCTGTAAAAGTGATTTCTAATTTAACAACTTCATTTATCTTTCAGAAACAGCAACAGGCTTCAAAAAGACAAAATTAATGATTTATTCCAGCCTACCAGGATCGGCGCTTGCTGTATTTTAAGCCTAGAATTTTTACTTTAATTGTATCTACCTACAAATTTTACAACTCACAAGTCAATATCTTAAGCTGCATTATGCACTAATTTTCATATTTTGAGACAATTTTTCATGCAAAATAAAATGTATATTAACAGTACTTATTTTAACTGGAATACAGGATTCTCAATGATTGAACCTCCTGACTTCAGAGTTTTAGTTTACTGATGATACTGCCTACTGATGATACCTAGGCTAGGTCTACGGTGCCTACTGAATACTGATAATGAAAATACTGCCAAAGGGCAAAGTACCAAGAAGTATATGTTAGCTTCCTGGGAAAATGGGAATAGGATGACTAATGAATTATGAAAATAGTGTCAGAGACAGAAAAAGTATTCAGAGTAATCCTCTTCTCACATTCTGACAGACTGACAAAGACATCAATTAAATTTGGCCTCTTTGAAAGTTAGAGAGGTTTGCCATTTAGGGTAAACGCGGTATATTCCGACACATTGTGGCAAACCAGAGCTTTTTTAGAATCAGTTCATTTTTAATTTCCTCATTTACTCAAGATTTAAACCAATTTCTTAAGTATGATAATGCTGGTATCCAGGATACTTTACTGGTCTACTTAAAGGACTCAAAAATGAACTTGAGGGAGAGTCTAAAAAACTCTCTGCTTTGCCACTATGTTCCGACATCATGGGTAATTCCGACACCTCTCTAGTTTTTCCTTTATATTAAGCTTTGTTTTAGTTCCATACGTTCATTGATGGTTGAAATAGTGACATCATGCATTTGTGCATCAAACTACTGCCAAAACACTAGGTTTGGGCCATCTAGCGGTAAAATGTTGAGATCCAAAGAGAGACGGTGCATGCCACCCAATGAGATCATCGAAAAATGTGTCAAAGTTGACAGTTGACCTTGCTCTACCAAATAGCGATAAACTGTTTGTGTAGAAAGAATATTATTATTATAGTTTGAGACTTTTAAATACGTCTGTGAATATATTAGGAATCCTTTAAGTATACTTGTATGTATTTGCTGATTTCAAGTGGTAAATAAATTAATAGATGATTAAGTTGAGAAACAGATTTAGACACATATAAACTAATTCCAACACAACTTGAATTGGACACACACAGCTTGTTCCAAGCTGTGTGCAAAAATTAAAATTTTCTTAATTAAAAGCTTAAGGGGAGCGTCTCCCTAAAAATTTATCTCAGTAATTTACAGAGGGATCAATCTGAAATTTGGTACACATATGTAAAACAGAATTCTAAGACATTTTTGTTCATGTGATTTTTTCGAAAAAATTGAAAGAAAACGTGAAATTCTTAGAAAACGAAAAAAAGGGGTACTTTAGAATACCTATCTCCTCCTAGGATTTTCAAGCTACAACATCGAGACACATATCATTCGATGCGTAAAGACCACATATACAAAATGATGTATTGGTTTTTTGAATTTCTCATTTTTGTGAGTGTGGGAGCATTTTGTCCGAAATTGTTTGAAATTTTCGATTTTACCTCCACTTTCCCCCCCTTTTTGCAACATAAAATCCTAACTATAACGAACTTAGAAAAACCAATACATCATTTTGTAGATCTTTCATTTGCAAATCGAACGGTATATGTCTCATTGACGTAGCTTCAAAACTCTAGGAGGAGATAGGTTTGCAGTGACAATAAGTTAACTTTTCAGTAGGGCCCGACAAAGTCGCGCGCGTCTTGAAAAAGTCATTCAAGGGTGCAAGGTTGCAAGACTACAAGATATTGGAGCTCAATTTCTGTCAAGGATGGTGCGAACGACGGCACGAGAGCCATCCCATATGACTGCAGGCGGATAACTGAAGCACAGCGTGTTCAGACTAGCTATTTAAGTGTGCTACCGGTAATTTAGGCCTATATTAAATGTTAAGGAACTCCACCACCCCTAACCCTTTCGCGATCTGTCGTGAACGCATAAATCAACGTACAGAGATGGTTTTGGTACCGTTAGATGCGGCAGAATGTAAGCTTTAAAATGAGTATAAAAACCGAAAAAGTCAAAATTTTCGATTTTGACCGAGACGCTCCCCTTAATAACTGTTAATTAAAAGCCTAATTAAGTAGTGCTCAATATTCAATAGTGTTCTAATTCAAAGCTGTGTCGTATTCCAATACAGCTCACACAGCGACCAGAATTCGAACACGTGGATGTCGGAATTATGTATTAGTACAATTTTAAGCGCAGTCGGAATACGTCTCACCACGTGCCGTGCCGAATAGTCACACACAGTGTCGGTCCTGTCGGAATATAGGGATTTGGTAGGTTTGCATTCTAAAGGCTTTTAAATAAATATGGCAACATTTTGTGACATTTCATTATTGCTGGCGCGTAGTACGGGGTTTTGAGAGTCACGTAAAGCAAACGGAACTCGAGTAACGCATACGGTTATTTTTTTATAGTTTTTCATTTCTTGATGCGTCCTTAATGTGTCGGAATATACCGCGTTTACCCTATAGGTTATATAGCCTAGGTTAGGTTTTAGACCCAAAAATTTACTAAAAATATCTGTGCAAGGATAAAATTTCAAATTATCAATTAGCAGCAACAGTAAACAATAAAATATTAAAATAGGTTACATTTTATTGTTTAGGATAATTTGTTTAAAAATTATGATATCAAAATGTCAGGCATTTCCCTTATTTTGTCCAACCCCTGTTCATGTCTGTCTGTGATTTCTGATCTTCCTCAGAGTTTTTTTTTTTTTTTTTGTCACTTCAAGCTAATCTGGAATATCTGGCAGAATTTTCCTAATTTTTCAGGTAAAAAGTATTTTATGGGCTATTCTAAAAAATTGGGTGTTAAAATGTGGCATTTTTCTTATTTTTATTTATGAAAGAATTTAGGTGAGGGGCATCAAAACTGGCAAAATTTACAGCAAGCATGAGCGTTTCCAGCTCATTTATGGGTGGCTTCTGCCTGAGTTTCTACATTGGTATCTATGGCTGCAAGGTTCTTGCTTGAGCAAGATGAGGAGACTCCCATTTATTATGGAGATGTGATCAAGCTCACTTATGGTAAATGTTATTCCCATTATCCCATCTTTATTGGAGATAAAAGAAATGCATTATATTTTTCCTTTAATTTGATATATATTTTCATTATTTTGGTATTAATTTTTGAGAAATGAAAAATTGTTGCACATACCGACCTATGGCTGTGAAACACTCCTAAAACCATCATTTTTACTGGAATTTTTTGGAAAATTCTATCCATTATTCTATATTTGAGTTTGTTTAGCCAATTTACAAAAAGGGATATTTATGCTTTTTGTGAGTAAATGGAATGGCATTTTTAACCTATTGCTCTCTAGCTGATGAGGTCAAAATTACATAATTCTTTTAGCCTTCCATTGGGGACTTAGAATTTTGTTATGCCACAGCTCCAATTACTAAGCCTGCCAGACATTTGTACTTAACCAAACTGGAAAATTGAGCAGAAACTAGCCATAAATGAGATGAAAATGCCTGTAACTGAATGCACAGACAATTTCACCTGTTCCTATGGCCCTTGATTAACATCAGTTGTGATAATAACGTAAAATGGCATATTTTTGCCCCAAATCATCAGAAATCAATGGCAAAATGATTATTTTCTCCTACACCTTATGGAAAATTTTGCGCAACATTCCAGATTAGGTGCCTGATTGTTTATCATTGATATGATTAAAGATGTATGCAAGGAACAAATATTATGACAATTAAATTTAATATGATTATATGTAATTCTTTACTAAGTCAAGTCATCTTTGTTTACTAACAAAAACCTATCAAAATCTACCCAATTCACCATAAAATGGTTTTTTAACTAATGTATTTCTTTCATCAAGAACTTTCACCAGTGTCCAATTCATTACTTATTAACTGTCATATGCTTGTATCTCAATTATTTTATTATAATTCATCATCTTTACAACTCTGTGACCACAATAAAGTTGTGATACATTGCAATATTAACAAGTTTATGCACTAATAATGGCTACACCCTCATCCGGTGAGTGCTTCAGATGATGAATTTTCTGCTTCATCTTTACTCACTATAAAGTCTTTCCAGGAAGATTGTCAGGCATAAATAAGTATATATTTAATATTATTAAGATTCTATTGATAAGCCATAGATTTCTCGTGCTCTCGGATATTCTGTGATACAATTATTAAATTTATAACTGTATAGTTTATAATTACCAAGGGGAATGTTATCTATTGGCTTTTTTTATATATTTCAGAGCTAGTAAAATATACATAAACAGCTATCATGTATGTAAACTAAATTTCATGGTCAGATATTTTTAGGATATTTCATTGACTTATGAGATTGAAATGAATTTGAGAAATGCCTGGTTTTAATTACAGGAAACATATTATTTCATGGACAATTATTTGATAGAATATTTAAACATATATTTGTTAATCTCTTGTAGGTATCAGTTCACAAATTTCCTTAATCCCCTGCAAGAAAATTGTTGCAATTGTAATTTTACTTTGAGTTCTTGTTTGTTCATGTGACAATTAAAAGTAATTTCTTAATACATTGATAGAATAAACTTCCTAAATAAAAATATTAAAGCATTTAATTTACAAAATGCTCTTTCATAACGTGTGAAATTTGTAAGAGTGATATCTTAAAAATTCATGTTAATGGTTGTATTTCTATCACTTGAAACTTATTGGTAGTCAGTCATATACTTTCTCTTCATGATAGGCTTAAGGAAGAATTTATGCTGACTTAATAATTTTTTACTACTACTAATTGGTGTCTTTTTTAAGTATTTAGGATGTTATTGTTTCTTCTGCATTGATTGTCTAGAATGGATAAAATTCAGCTTATTGAAGTTTGTTCTTGATGGATATGGCTCATAGTTATCTTTATTGCTGAAAATATCAGTTCAAATCCTGTACCTATCATTTGAAAAGTATCTTTAGTTTGGGCCTATGTATACCGGTACTTCAAATTAATTTTGTATCACTCAACAGAGAACGTGATCCCTTCTTCTCAGCGACCTGACGGCACGTGGAGAAAGCAGCGACGAGTCAAGGAAGGCTACATCCCCCAAGAAGAAGTCCCATTGTGAGTATTGATGCTTGTTCCATGACTACCAATCATGTCAAGCTTAAAAATGACAAAACAGAGGTGATGGTATTTACCTCAAGACCTTCAAATGAAATCACTTTATTTCAACATCACTTGTCTATCAATTTTCCTTTTTATGTTCTCCCTTCAAAAACAGCCTAGTACATATGATTATGTAATTAAAGTTCAGTACTAACAATCATAAGCATATAAATCATGTACGGTATAAAATATTGCTTTCAAGGCTGAAGAAGAAAAAGCTAAATCCTACCCAAAGCCAAGCCCATTAAAGCTAACAAAATTGCTAATCAATTTCTGATTAAAAAAATGTTGAGATTAGCTCTATAGTTCCTAAAATCATTAATAATAAAAAAAATATTGCAAAGTGTTAAAGGAAATTATAAAATTGTTGTTTCCATCTTTTGTGCTTCAGATTGAAGGAAGGAATCTATGCAAATTTTGGAAGGAGAATATTAACACTTATAGTTATTATTCACTTGAAATTGTTATTTAATGCATAGCTTTTTGCGCTGCTTTGATCTTTGCTTATCTATTATGCTTTCTACTAATAATATTTTTATTGATTATTCTTGTACTATTTGAAATTGATGAGGTTGATGAGGCAGCTGGTGACCAAAACATTTTGATTTAAATTATGATAAATTCCCTTTCCATTTAAATTCATGACTCTTAAGTATTTCTGTTCAACTTTTTTTTCAACTTGTTCATTTTTGATCTAACTGAGGCTTCAGCACAGCATTGAATATTTGTAGTAATTTCATTCATGTCAGTTTTCCATTCTGAGGTGCATGCTCTACTTACTTCACTATAAGACATTTATAAATTATTTAAATTTTTAGCATAAAATGATAACTTGAGGTAGAAAATTTCCTAGCATCATTGGAATACAAGTTTGTATTCTAGAGAATTTGGCTTAATAGGCAGAGTACTGTTTAATATATACCACTACTTGCAGCAAAATGAATAAATATTGTATGTACAGGTAACTATATAAATTATACCTCTTCCTTTGACGTGTGTATTGAATTTTCTTTAGCTATTTTCTGCCTTGCAGTCATTGCATTTCATTTGTATACCAGGTATGAGAGTAAAGGCAAACAGATAGCAAAAAGCATCCCTACTCACCCCATCGGCCTACATCCTGAAGACATCGTCAAGCACAAACAACTTGAGAGAATGGAGAAGCAACTTGAGAGCACCAACTCCATCATCCCTGGCCTCCCCACCTCTGCGCTGACATCAACTAAGAGTTTGTATTATAATCTCCCATCTGAACATCCTCGAGTGTTTTGTGAATTATTAAAGCTTGCAATTTAATAAATAATGTATGATAAATTACACGAATTTCATGCTATGTATATCTCGATTTTTTTCTACTGTTAGTTCAAGAATTTGTTAGATTTTAATTAACGTATTCTAGTCTGCATTAGAAAACTAAAAGTTTGCCCTTTTAGGGCTTTTAGCTCTTCATATTAATTTATTTTAGGATATTACATTTGTAAAATCTACAATATTGGTGAATAGCCTCCTTTCAAGGTTATTTTCTGTATTAAAATTTTATGGTGCCTTGATACAACATTTTGTTTTCGTTGTTATAGTAATAGCTATACTGGATCCTGGTAGTGGCAACTAGGTACAGGATGAGTGATGGATCACTTTTTCCGCGCACTAAGGCCACTGGTAGTTTCAGGACCATCACCGAGTAATTGCCAAGTGATGACCCACCATAATCATTTTTACTTTACCCAACACCCTGGACAAGCTAGGTACTCATTTATCAACCAGAGTTGGATGAATGGCTGAGTTGGCCATGAGTTGAGCATGAGCTTCCCAAAAGAACTTGTCCTCAGTGGGACTCGAGCCCAGGAGCTGGGTATCAGAAACTGTGTTTCTCACAACTACACCACCACTGCACTACCACAGCTCCACATTTTTGTTATAAGGCGATATTTGTCAATACTGTTTTAGGATTGTTAAATTTTCTCTTATTCGAGAATCATCTTTATTACTTTCTCTAGGTGGTCCGAAGAAGGAAAAGAAGAAGGCATCGTCTTCTAAGAAGGAAGCCAACCCAAATGGCTTCGAAATCACATTTGAAACGTCCATTGTTGGTGGCCCTAAGACCCAGAAAGGTTAGAGTAGTAAACATAGAAGAGCTAATGACATCTAGGGTGCAGAAGCACTGTGGTTTTTGGCTTGTTGTGGTTTTAACAGAATAAAATAGGAAAATATGGAAGGTTACGTTATGACTTCATTGGCGACATTTCTTGCTTGATGATTTGGACATCATGGTTTATCATTAATATGATCTAAAGTATGATTTTGCTTAAGAGACTGAAGTTTAAACAAGGAAAATTAACCTGAATAATCCACAGGCCTGCATTCGGTAGAGCATTTTTGATTCTCTAAATGCGTGAACTACGCATAAAATTACTGGTTAAGTAGTCTTGTTGAATTGTTGAGATCTTGTCGAATATTGTTGAAACAATGTTCTGTACAATGTTCTGATTATCTGGTGTCTGGGCTAAATAATTTCATTTTTTAGGCAAGTCCAAGAATACCAACAAGAGCTCGAACAACAAGGAGAATACGGGGACGTCTGGCAGTCAGAGATCTAGCAAGACGGCGGCTAAAGACCCCGCTCAGAAGCCCTCCAAGACCTCCGGCAGCGAAGCACAGAAGAGCAAGAAGCCCACGGGGGAGGAGGCAGCTACCGCGGCTGCGCCTGCAAAGCCTCTGAAGGAAGTCACCAAGAACGTTAAGGATAATAACAAAGAGAACAAGGACAATAAGGAGAAGAAAGAAGCTAAGGATAACAAAAATGCCAAGGAAAACAAGACTGAGTCTCCCAAGAAAGCCGCTAAAGATGGATCCAAAGCAACTAAGAATGCAGCTAAACCTGACAAAGAAGATGGTAAAAGCAAGGGAGAAGGCAAAAAGGAATCGGCGAAGGGAGACAAGCCTAAAGCCAATAAGGAAGGTGGCAAAGCCTCTGCCAAGGTCCCTAAAGAAGGAGGTCAGCAGCCTACTAAGGAGAAGACTGCCAAAGCCAAAGATTCAGGCAAGGCAAAAGCCAGCAAAGGCTCTGAAGGGTCAAATAAAGCAGCTGATGGTGCTAACAAGGTTGCTGATAGCTCACCCAATGATCCCGCTCAGGCCGCCAGACGACTAAAAAACGTCACCAAGAAGCTGAAGGAAATCGCCAAGCTAGAAACCATGATTGAGTCCAAAGAAATTGTTACACCATCTCAAGATCAAATTGATAAGATAAACAAGAAAGCTCAGTTCACCAAGGAAGTTCAGGAGTTGGAGAAGATTGTGGGAGTCCAAGAGGGTGACAATGAAGCAGCCAAGGCTAACGAATAGCCTAGAGTCTGAATGACGCGCTCTTCGTAACTTCACAAATCGAAATATTTTCGTACGGCTGAAGATGCCCTTTGGTTTTTTATTGCTATTTATTCTTCCAGACTAACGTGATGTATGGTTCGGAAGCGTGTCTTGATGTTTTCTGTTATTGATGTTAGAATTATGATGAATTAGACTTGGATTAGAACCATAAACCTTAGATTTGTTCAATTGTATTCGTTGGAGAGCGAGCGACTTCTAAATTATTTATACTCAATTTTCATCCTGAAACCACGCCCCAACTTTTAATTCACCTCACGCTCTGTTATTGGCGTTTTTCAAGACCAGATTCGATAGAACTCTTGAACATCTGCAGCAATTGCATTTGCTTCACACTCCGTTCAATATATGATGCTTCAATGCGCGAGTGCTGTTTTGCATTAGTCAATCGTAACTTAACTTCGAACTCAACCGAGCCGTGGAATTTTTTCCCCCCTTCTGCTTCAAGTCAAAAAGCTTGACGTTGTAGCTTCATCACTTGTTAACGTGACGCGTCATAAGCTTCTAGGTCACATGTTAGTGTTACCCGTTTTCACAAGCAGCTGTAGACAGAGCTATTTATGACAATTAACACCTTAACTTAAGAATACTTGCTACTAAAACGAGTCCTAGCATCACTGCTGCGGTACTACTTTATGGCGACAGTGACAATGGTGTCTAGTGTGGATTTATTGGCCTTTAACGCCGAGGTCTTAGCTGTTCCAGGTCTATATTAGGTTTCTGTAGGAGGCTTCTGTAGAAAACTCGGGTTGATATGTGAACAGTAATTGCCAAATACTCTTCTCTTAGAAACTTGTAACGAATCACCTCTTAACGATTAGGTTTAATTTAGTGTGTGTGTATTCTCCCTAGTTGATTGGGCTTCCTCAGTGTTGCTCTCAAACTTTTCAATTAACCGTTCGAGTGATTTTCCTAACATAGTTTGTGGAACTAATCGCGATGTGTTGCTAGTCTTCTTGGCAATTGCTGCTTGATAATAAGCCTCTTTAATGTTCCTCTGTTGTCAGAGCACCTGAGACGTTCTTTGCAATTTTTGTTTTCCTTTGTATCAGACGTTTTGCAGATCTTAGGCAATTTATTTTTCTTGTTTCATCTCATTTCCTCGAAGTTGATGGAAATTTGTTACATGCTTTGACGTTATTCATATTATGTCCGTGTGGGATCTTGATAATTTCAAGCTGTTAACCGAATGCATTGAATCTTTACGTCACGGTTTTGCAGCAACTCTATGTGCTCTAGTATTTACTGGCTGTGAAACGGTGTTTGTATTCTCAAGGTTTTGTAAACCATTTCGGGATTTTTCGTCGGGTATAATTTACGCCACAATGTCACGAGATACTTTTGTACTTTTGATGTGGACAAGAGAATGCAATGTTATCTGGCAAGGCAAATCAACTCTTGTTGAGAATGAGAAAGATATGCATTCGGTACTGGCTTACACCTGCCTTCAATTAAGATCGTTTCTAGACGTTATTGCTAGCGCCTCGTTTAACGTCATACGTTAGCTCAGGGTAGTTTTTAATATTGTCTTGGATGACCTTACGTATTTCATGTCTGTTTACCTGTGTAATTTGTTCTAACTACGGTTATTGCAGCTTGGTTTCTCACGGTTATAGTCATGTTCATTCTACCCGACTTGACGCATGACAAAAATATAATAATGTACGCCTACTTATAAATCTTTCTGTACCTTTATATATTTTCCGTGCTGTTAGCGTACATTGCAGCTGGTCGATAGACAAATTTTACGCAAGCTTTGTGCACCATTTCAACTGAATTGACTATAATGCTCTCGACGGTCGCTGAGCGTTTAAATTGCTTGCTGTCGTGTGTCACTTTCAGAGCAAACCTCTCAATTCGCGTTTCATTTTATCCAAGTAAAGAAGGATGTTTGAAATATCTCGTTGATTATCCTTTCCTTTCGTGCACTGTATGTAGAACATTCCATTATTTCCGCGCGACTAATCGAAACTAATAATTTATTAATTTCTACTATCATCTGATAGCCGTTCAAGCGATAGTAGCGAAACCTAGATTATTTTCTTCTTTAAATACAAAATTAGCACTCTGGAATCGAACTGTTTCCTTACTAGTGGTTTGTTGGAAGGAAATTCGCCACTGAACAACCTGAGTTTCATCCCAGACACCAAATGAAAATGTTAATCTGCGAGTAACATGTTTCAATCTCCTCTAATTAAGATTTTTAGTAAAATCAATTCCTGTTCCGAATCACTTCTTATATTTCCTATCCTCACACTATTTCAAAAAATAAAGTTCAACGCACTGATTATATTTTACTGAAATCGAACACGAATAATTTTTAGCAAAATTATTATTCAGTTCTGAAGGTATAAATATTTTCCATTGCAATTTCAATTCGGTATTCAATTCATATAGTAATTTAATATCAGCGCAATGCAAGCCTTCACAATAAAGAGAGAACAGCATTGGTTGTAACATTTAAATGTTATGAAAAACAATTGATCTAAAAACACTGTTCATTAGCTCTTTAGACTAATTGAAGGTGATGGCATCAACCATTAGATTCTTTAAAAATCCCAATATGATCGTAATTTGTTACATTTGCGCACAGTTTGCAACTTCGTACTAGAAAAGGCGCAAACTATTATTTTCTAACTATTTTTTATCTGGTACTTCTGACGCTCCCAATATAACATCAATGTCATAGTAATATTGTTTCAGTTTCTCGTTTCTGCTGCTTGCAACGTAGAGCTTCTGCTGCGCGTCCGGCTGTCGTTCGCACTCCGCAGTCGAGCTGTTGTCGTCGTTGTTGTTGTTGGTGGTGCGGTCGCTGGAATGTCGGGCGGAGAGGCCTTACGCTCTGAGCCTCCAGGGCAGTGTTGGGGGTTAGAGGGTGACGGTGTAGTAGGGGTGAAAAGGGGGGTGTGACACGTAGTGCATAAGAGGAGGGGAAGGGATGACACGTAGCAGGGTTGTGGTGTTGAGGAGGAACAGTGTGGAAGGTGTGCCACGGTAAATGGCTAAAGAGAGGGGAAGAGTATAGTATAGTAGAAGTTATACATTGATGGCAAGTATGATGGGGGGGAGGGCTCGTCGCTCGAAGAGGGGGATAGTTGGTTGATGAGATCATTCTTTGTAGTATTGGTCATACTATGAGAGGAAATGCTGAAGGGGTTATATTAGGAGTCCTACTTAGAAATATTTTGTAATGGGGGCAAATACTTAAAGGTGAAAGTGTCAAGTACAGATGATCTTTTAGGCAAATGCGCGCACGTGTGATGAGTTGGTAGGAATATAAGGAAACTTTATGACTTTAGAAGAATAGAAGGAAATTGATGCGAGAAAAGTGGTAATATTTTTAGAATTCTCATATGTATCCACATTAAAAATAGGTTTTATATTAGTTATTGTAAAAAATGATGTAAAATAATATCCAAAATACGAAAAAATGTGATAAAAACTATAATGAACCATTCAATACGGTATACCTATGAAATGGTGGCAGAGAAATGCTTACGTAGATTTATTAGTTATATGCTAAATTTACTTGGGACCAATTTTTTAGTTCCATCACAATTTTTGTTGTAAATGCCTACCTGTAGAGTTCTTTCACGTTCCGTAACTAGTCAGTCGTCATGTATCAATTTCGTTACAATGATTAATTTTCTCAAGCGTCTTGACGTCATGAAAACGCAATTCCTGCTCCGCGCCTATGGTATAGTTCCAATCATCCGAGCGTATGACCGACCTACGGACCACGGCCATCGTCGGTTAGTCACATTGTTGCTTTTCGTGTGGAGGGAATTTCTCCTAACGCTGTACTTCGGTGGGAGGTTAGGACGGTGGTGGTTGGGATGGTCGGGGGAATGGAGGTTTCGGCTGAGCACGCACGGGTAAATGGTTAGGACTCTGCAGTCCGCACGCCGTCCTGTGAACCTCTCTTTATGATGTAACAACCCGAAGGATTTCTATGAACAGAATTGAAACTTACACATGCATTATGAACACAGAACTTTTCATATAATTTGTGATTGAATACAAAAGTGGGAGGGTATGGCTGATGTAACATCGACTAATGTATTGTTACGAGTGTAAAAAATCGTTTGCAACAACTTGCATTCCAGGGCAGTCTATTCCATTAACAGGTAGGCTGAGGGCGAGGATGTAGGAATGGTGTCGGAGGTACGATGTTTAGTAGCGTGGCTTCCCAGCTCATATGATGAGGGTTTGATGGGGGTCTCTAAAGTCGGGCTATTTTGGGGGGGTAACTACAATACAAGGGGGTGTGGGAGACGACCCTGGGACCAACGCTCTTTGGGAACCTGCGGTGTTGGGGGATAGGAAGATAATCGCGGGAAGTCAAGACTTGTGACTCGTTGCAACGGTCGAACCGAATGTTCACGCAAGTCGGCACTGCAACAAAACAAGTGTTCATACTGTAGAACCTTTATGCTTCTTCTTAATAACATTGTTTTCAGTAAAACAATATATTATTTCAGGAATATTCCTCATATGATAATGATCGTTATGTAAACTTTACGACTGTGATTCAGATACTGATTTTCATTGAATGTCATCGCTTTTTTTCTGTGCTGTATAGTTTACTTATGTGTATAGATTTTCAGTGACGGCCACCGTGCAAGGAACTGGTTTATAGCTGCTTTATTTTTTCAAGTTTTTTCCGTTTTGATTCCTTGGCTGTCTCTTCCTCTGAACACATTTGCTTGCGAGCTGCAATGTTATTCCTACCAGAATTTTAGTTGACATGCATATTTGAGGCCTAATTCTGTGACTGTTTGGCTTGAGTGGCTGTACGGGGAGTTATAGATTCTCAAACCTGTTTCCAACGACTTGGAAGCTCTCTCTGGGAAACAGTTTGGGAATACCCTAAACTGAGGATTGCTTCGGAGTCGAATATAATATTTGAACTTGATGAATACGTGAACAGAAATGTTATTATTAGGCTGGTTGGTGTAAACGATTATTTTTCTCTACTTTTCTAGTCTTTTGATCATAACTGGATTTAGTATCAAATTTGATTCTACTGTCATTGAAACTGTTGCACTGCTGCTAGGCTAAAAAAAATTAGATCAGTACTCACTGCAGTGAGTGACATGTGCAGAGAGCGCATTTTCTCACGTCCGTCCGGCACGGACGGACGGACATGACGAGCACAATAGAGCCTTTATCCATAAATGAGAAAATGCGCTAAAAACTATACAATATTTGGCATTCCTTTCATCATACTTGATTTATGGACTCCCCGTTACGGAATCCGTCTATGATACTCAAAGTGCAATGAACATTTCTAAAAATAAGGCTTATCTCATTTCAATTGTTATATTGTGTGGATAAACGGCATTATCCAGGTTATGTAATAAATTTTAAACATTTTAGATGCAAGCTGTATTAAAAAAATATAACTCAGTACTCACTGCAGTGAGTGACAGAGAGCGCATTTTCTCGTCGACGAAAACGTGAAATCACGGATGGACAGACAGACAGACGGACGGACATGACGAGCACAATAGGGCTTTTTTTCTACAAATGAGAAAATGCGCTAAATACTAATTTATTTGCCTTCATTCACAGGAAATCTGAAAGCTGCGCAGAACTTCCTTTCGTTCATCAGTGTGAGGTCAGCAAAATCTAATTATTCTTATTTTTTACGTGCATTTATGGGGATCTGCATGTCTATTTATTTATTTCAAGAGAGCACACACAGGTTAAATTTTTCGAATGTTCTTCTGCCTACATTTTTTTCGAATGTTCTTCAGCATTCATGCATGATAACTAAAACGTGTGCTAGCGTAATTTGTATATATAAATCATACCATTACATAATTTTGGTGGCTGATCTATCCCTACACTTGTATTCTTAATTTTTCTAAACTGTTGTTGGAGCTGGTCTCATATTTGAATTAGGAGAAGACATGGTGAATTTACTTAGCCTTTTATTTGCTGTCATTTCTTGTATAAAAAATGTTAAAGCCTTGATTAGTTTGACGACTCCAGTCTCTCCAGTATTGAATTTCGTTAGTAAAAAGTGTTTTTATTATAATTTTACGTCTTTTGGTATAATTAGGTTTGTTATACGGCCTCTAGTGATGGCCGTATCGAGATTACGTTAACTTTACGCTATTTTCTGCCTAGGGGGTTCTTGGTTATGAAGAATGGTCAGGGTTATGGCAGGAGGCTTCATTAAATGTTCGTCACACCGCAGGTTTCGCTTCCACAACTGTCGGATTTAGCGAGAAAATCCTCTAAATTGCTTTCAATTATCTCCCATCTCAACGTGGGAGTCGTCTTTTTATTTGTCAATTCACTTTGCTATTAAATTACAATTTCAAATGCAAAAATCATTATCTGAACTGCTTATTCAAATGACAATAGAGTTGGGCTTGACATTTTTATAGTTTCTGCACTGTTGATAACCTAAGTATTTGAGAGAATTTTTTAATCCATTCGTTGAATGAAACGGCAAAAGTTAATGTGAGACCTCCGTGAAATTTATTACAACATAGGATATTTTTATCAATTGCCGGATCACTTATTAAAGCCAATGCAAGTTACTTGCGCATCTCTGCGCTTTATTTACACGCGAGTTCATTGGAACACGCACGACCGTCTTCAAGGTCTAAAAAGATCGCCCCCTCGCTTCGCTGTCTTCGGTGGCGCTCGCAGCGCGTGACGGCGTAAGTCGATGCGCTTTATAACAGCGGCCTTGAGCTACACCACCTTCCATGTTACAACTCACGGCCTTCGTCTTTTTGCTTATATCTCCTACCAGTGACACGCTTTTTGCTTATATCTCCTACCAGTGACACGCTTTTTGCTTATATCTCCTACCAGTGACACGGGGACACTTTTTTGCTTAAATCTTCTACGAAAGACACTATGACACTTTGCATCAAC